CATTCCTGCCCAAAAATAGCCCTGCCTGATATACACAGTAGGATAGACCATAGCCCCTAACGATTTATCCAAGTAACTTTGCCACTCTGATTTATGTATTTTATTTACTCCAGCCCAGAGCTCTGTAAGGAAGGTGGCTAATTAATGTTATAATAAACAAATGGCTTCCAGACGGTCCAGCACTGCCCACTGCAGGGGCGGGATCCACATGTGGGGGGGGGGGGTCCTTCGTCATGGGTGTGCTGCCACCAGCTGCTTGAGGGGTATGCGGACGGGACCCCCGGCTCCCAGAGACCACAATGGGGTTTTCACCCTCCTTTAGCCTCACTAGTGACTGTCAGGTTCCCAGTTAAATCAGCTCTCCACACGCACTTTGGCAGTGAATGCTTTATTTAGAGATATGAGATGCTGTGGGTCCAAGCTCTTTGTTAGGACTGAGGAGCCAGGGCGGGAAGGTTGAGATACAGGTAAAACCTCCAGAATTCCATGCATGCCAACATCAGTATAACTACAGAGAGCCAGGTTGGTGCGATGGTTAAGTGTGCGGACTCTAATCTGGAGAACGGGGTTTGATTCCCCACTCCTCCACTTGCAGCTGCTGGATGACCTTGGGCAAGCCGTAGTTCTGTCAGAGCTGTTCTTGAAAAAAGAGCCGTTTCTGTCAAGAGCTCTCTCAGCCCCCACCTACCTCACTGGGTGCCTGTTGTGGGGAGTGGAAGGTAAAGGCGTTTGTAAGCCGCTCTGAGACACCTTTGGGTAGTGAAGGGCGGGGCATAAATCCAATCTCTTCTTCTTCCGTTCCCTCTTCCCCGCCACAGGACCACCTGCTGCCAGAACAGAGGTGCTCTCTTGGATTAAACAAGAGGACGACGCGTGTGGAAGGGAGCAGATGGGGAAAGTGCACGGCAGCGGAGGCACCTGCAACTGTGAGTATTTTGGAAGGACATGCCTTCCTCCCCCCACTTCGCTCCCATGCCGTGGGTCTTCTCTGCTCTCCTGACATGCCCGGGCAGCCTTCGCTCCACCCACTCCCCACTCTGCTGGTACCAGAAAGATACTGCATTCAGTGTTCCCTCTAAGCTGGGTTAGTGTGACCCAGCTCACAGTTTTTTAGCCTCCGGCTCACGGATTCTTGCCTTCGCTCAGGAAGGAGGGCTCCAGAGCAAACTAATTTACGCAGCAGCCAAATCGCTCACTCACAACTCTAAGGCCCAGGAGCTCACAAACTAGAATTTTTGCTCACGGGACTCCACAGCTTAGAGGGAGCATTGGCTGCATTATACGCGAGTTACAAAACCATCCCATGTTCTAGCTCCTACAAGGTTCAGCTACACCCGTATTAACGTAATTGTCAAGAGAGCCAGTTTGGTGTCGTGGTCGGACTCTAATCTGGGAGAACCGGGTTTGGTTCCCCACTCCTCCTCCACATGCACCTGGATGGATGACCTTGGGTCAGTCACAAGTTCTGACAAGAGCTGTCCTTGAAAAAGAGCCGTGTCTGTCAAGAGCTCTCTCAGCCCCACCTCCCTCTGTTGTGGGGAGTGGAAGGGGAAGGAGTTTGTAAGCCGCTCTGAGACTCCTTTGGGTAGTGAAGGACAGGGTATAAATTCAATCTCCTCTTCTTCTTCTTAATTGTTGTGGAAGCAACCCAAGCCATCAAGCCCCAAGCGTCACCCCCCCCCCCGAGCGAGAGAGGGATTTGAAATCACCCCTGTCAACTCACAACCCCCCTCCCCATTTTCCTTTAAATGCTCTGGTGCACGAGCAATGCTCCCTCTAAGCTGCAGAGCCTTGTGAGCAAAAATTCTACTTTCTGAGTCAGCTCACCATTTTTCAGTCTCCAGCTCGCACATTTTTGCCTTCGCTTAGGAAGGAGGGCTCCAGGCCAGACTAATTGATGCAGTAGCCAAATCGCTCGCTCACAGCTTTAATGCCAGGAGCTCACGAAGTAGAATTTTTGCTCAGAAGATTCCACAGCTTAGAGGGAGCGTTGGCGCCCAGCCCCTTTGGCATGGCCTAGCGGGACCTGGGCCTCAGCAGCGTCTTCTGTGCACCTTCAGTGCCACCTGCCTTCACCACCTCTTACGCCCCTCCCTTCCTGGTCCACCCAGCAGGGACCGTACAGCTCTGGGGGAGGGGTCCTACCTCTTATACTCCATGCAGCATCTGACCTGTCCTCAGCGCTCCTGAATCCGGGGCAGTTGTTCTTTCTACAGCAAGGACCAGGGGTCATTTCCTGCAGGAGCGCACAGGAGCGGAGCTCTGGCAGTAAAGAGCCCAGGGGGCGGGCACATGCAACAAGCCCCACCCCCTGCTCCCAGCAGCCCTCAGTCAGAGCAAGAAGCAGCCAGGTAAGCTGCAAAGCCCCCCCCCCCCGCCCAAAACAGTCCAGTGGCACCTTTAAGACCACGTTTTATTCAGGTACAAGCTCTCCCTCCTCTGCGAGGGCAGATTTGCACGTGTCCCCCCCCCCCATAGCTAGCAATCCAAAACAGTCCAGTGGAGCCTGAATAGTGGGTGTTGCCTTCTGACACACTTCTGGTGATGTCAGGGGGTGTGGCATATGCAAATAAGTTATGCAAATACGTTTTGGTAATGAGCTCCTGCACCTCTTTGTCTACGAAATGACCCCTTGCAAGGACTATTCTTATAGACTGAGCTTCGGCATGAAAGAAATCCACACATTTCTCTCTGTGCTTCTCTGCTCTCCTAGACTACACTGTTTCTAAACTGGACAGTTTGCCAAGCGACAGGGACGAGGGCCCAGCCTGCATTCCTTTCCAGGCGGACATGGAACCAGAAGCCGACACCATCTCTGTCGTACAGAATCCAGGTGAGCCGCGGATTCAGTTGGGAAGTCTTAATGTAGATCGGCCTCTGGGTGGACAAGAGCCGGACTGGGATCCCCCACCCAGCTCAGCCCGGGCGAGAAGCTGGGATGAGGCCTGATGAAGCAGACTGTGACTTAGGGGTGCCAACCGCCAGGTGGTGGAATCCCAAAAACAACATCCGTGACAAAAATAATGAAGAGTCAATAAAGATAAGTTGCAAAAACGTTTACTGTAGTCATTCTATAGAAATTTTTCTTCTGTTATCGGTCACATGCTAACGAATGCTGCGCAATGAAAACCATTCGTTTCACAATATTTGCTTTATCTGAGGGTGTAGCGATCCCAGTTCTTATCACTAAAAGGAAGAAAATACACATTCAATTATAAATGTAGCTTAAAGGATCACAATAAACCATTACGCACAAAACTGTCACTGCATTACTACTTACCAACTCTTGAAGGAAACATTCCCTGTGTATTTTCTTCCTTTTAGTGATAAGAACTGGGATTGCTACCCGCTCAGATAAAGCAAATATCGTGAAACGAGTGGTTTTCATTGCGCAGCATTCATAGAATCATAGAATGTTAGAGTTGGAAGAGACCTTGCAGGTCATCTAGTCCAACCCCCTGCACTCTGCAGGAGCACAGCTGAAAGAGAGCCCTACGACATACCCGAAAGATGGTCGTCCAACCTCCGCTTGAAAGCGTCCAGCGAAGAAACATTCACCACCTCCCGAGGCAGTCTGTTCCACTGCTCAACCACTCTTACAGTCAGGAAGTTTCTCCTGATATTTAGCCGGTAATGACTCCCTTGTAATTCCCATCCATTAGATCTAGTCTTGCAATCTGGAGCAAGAGAGAATAGATCTGCTCCATCTTCTACATGACAGCCCTTCAAATATTTGAAGACTGCAATCATGTCCCCTCTAAGCCTTCTCTTTCCCAGGCTAAACATTCCCAACTCTTTCAGCCTTTCCTCGTAAGACTTGGAGTCCAACCCTCTCACCATCCTGGTTGCCCTCTTCTGGACACGCTCGAGCTTGTCAACATCCTTCCTCAAATGTGGTGCCCAAAACTGGACACAGGACTCCAGGCGAGGCCTGACCATAGCAGAAGAGAACGGAACGACCACCTCCCGTGATCTGGACACAATGCTTCTGTTGATGTATCCTAAGAGTGCATTCGCTTTCTTCGCAATAACATCGCACTGCAGGCTCATGTCATTCGTTAGCGTGTGAGCGATAACAGAAGAAAATTTTCTACAGAATGACTACAGTAAACGTCTTTGCGGCTTATCTTTGTTGACTTCATTACTTTTGTCACGGATGTTGTTTCTTGGAATCCCACTGCCTCCCGTGGCCTCTCGTTTTTGGCTTCAACCTCCAGGTGGGGCCTGGACATCTCCTGGGGTCCATCTTCAGGCAACAGAGATCAGTTCCCTTGGAGGTTGGGCTGTACGGCATTATACCCTGTTGAGGCCCCTCCTCTCCCCCAAAGCCCCGCCCTCCTCAGGCTCCACCCCCAAATCTCCAGGAATTTCCCAGCCCACAGCGGGCAACCCTGCGTAGGGCTCCCTGCAGTCCAGCATTCTGTTGGCGACAGCAGCCAAGGCGAGTTGCCCTTTTCTGCGCCTTTCCCCATGCTCAAATATCCTTTTTGAGGTGTGGCGACCAGAACTGTACACAGTACTCCAAATGAGGACGTACCATCGATTTATACAGGGGCATTATGATACTTGCTGATTTGTTTTCAATCCCCTTCCTAATAATCCCCAGCATAGCGTTGGCCTTTTTTATTCCTGAGCGAAGACGAAAGTGTGTGAGCCAGAGGCTAAAAAGCTGTGAGCTAGCTCACACTCACTCAGCTTAGAGGGAACACTGGTGCCAGCTACGAAACCTGCAAGAGGGGGGAGGGGCGAGGATCTGTTTTCAGGTTCTCCAAAACTTGCAGAATATCTGCAGTTCTCTTGCTTTCCAAACAGACTCTCCCGGTTCTAGAACAGACTTGGTTTCCTGGAGCCAGTTTGGTGAAGTGGTTAAGTGCGCGGACTCTAATCTGGGAGAACCGGGTTTGATCCCCCACTCCTCCACTTGCACCTGGCTGGATGACCTTGGGCAAGCCGTAGTTCTGACAAGAGCCGTTCTTGAAAAAGAGCAGTTTCTGTCCAGAGCTCTCTCAGCCCCGCCTACCTTACAGGGTGTCTGTTGTGGGGAGGGGGAGGGAAAGGAGATTGTAAACCGCTCTGAGACACCTTTGGGTAGTGAAGGGCGGGGTATAAATCCAATTTCCTCCTCTTCTTCTTCTTGGTGTTGTGGTTAAGTGTGCGGACTCTAATCTGGGAGAACCGGGCTTGATTCCCCACTCCTCCACTTGCACCTGCTGGATGACCTTGGGCAAGCCGTAGATCTGACAAGAGCTGTCCTTGAAAAAGAGCAGTTTGTGTCAGAGCTCTGTCAGAGCTCTGTCACCTCCCAGGGTGTCTGTTGTGGGAAGGGGAAGGGAGAGGAGTTTGTAAGCCGCTCCGAGACTCCAAGTGAAGGGCCGGGTATAAATCCAATCTCTTCTTCTTCATCATCAAGCAAGAGGGCTTCCCAGCAGGAGGGAGGGTGGAGATGGCCATTGAAGCACTTGTGAGTAGGAAACTGAAACTGCTGAAAAGCTGACACTCGGACCAAACTGGACATCCCTCGAACCTCCTGGCCACAGCCACTCCCCAGTTCCGGCTAAACCTGGTGCTGCATCTGAGAGCCAGTGTGGCATAGCGGTTAGTGTCGGACCAGGATCTGGGAGACGCAGGTTCGAATCCCCCCGTGGCTGGGGAGGCTTACTAGGTGACCTTGGGCCTGTCACACACGCTCTCGGCCTAACCTGTTTCACAGGGTTGTCGCCAGGATAAGATGGAGGAAACAAAAATGATGTAAACCACTTGGAGTCAAAATAGGGGGTAAAGGCGGGACATAAATGAAGAATGTCGAGACAGTGTGTGACTGCAATAAAGAAGGCCAATGCTATGCTGGGGATTATTAGGAAGGGTATTGAAAACAGATCAGCCAATATAATAATGCCCCTCTATAAATCAATGGTGCGACCTCATTTGGAATACTGTGTGCAGTTCTGGTCACCACACCTTAAAAAGGATATTATAGCTTTGGGAAAAGTGCAGAAAAGGGCAA